GAAGAGAGCTTGGGAGGAGAGGACTTGCCCTGTCTTCTGTGACATTTGAGGGTGAGGAAGCCCCAACTGGGACTTGCTTCTTAGCACCCCAAACTACCACAATCTTCATCTCATGATTGATATGTTTTTTTTTTCCTATCGTGTAAGCTTGAGGTTTGGCTACTATGTGAAGTGCCAAAGGAACTCTAGTTTCTCCTCTTGATCTGAAAACCTTTGTGCCTGGATCCCCTCTTGGTTCAGTTCCCCTTTCTCTGCCACCATCCTTCATACGTGAATATTTGAATGTATCCTGGGCATTATGCTGGGACCAGGGATGTAACAACAAACAGAATTATCAGGTTCCATCCTTGTGGGTTTGCAGTCTTTGGGTATATGCAGACATTAAACAAATAAGCACACAAAATAATTGTCTAAGTATAACCATATGAAGTGCAGTAGAAAGAAAGTACTGTGAGAGTATCAAAAAACATATATTTGATAGAGTAAGAAGAGAAACTCTCTAGAGAGATCTGAGTAGGAGTTCACCGCACCAGGGCAGGGGAAAGGATCTGGAATGGTGGGGGAAAGTGTCCCTGGATGCTTTGGTGGGAAGAAGGTGGGCACTTTTGATTAAGTTAAAACCAGTATATTAAGGTAGGTCAAGCCACAGGTATCAAAAACCCCCAACTAGTATTGACTTGAATAAAAGATTACATGTGTTTCATATAAAAAGCAACAGTCCGGAGCTGATCCAACAGGCCCGTTTCATTAAGGACCCAAACATCTTCTGCTCCATTCCCTTGCCTGACCCAGCATGTTGCTTCCCACCTGGTGGCCCAAGATGGGCGCTCTAGCTCAGGCCATTATATCTGTATTCCAAGCAGCAGGCAGGAAGATAGGGCAGAAAAACACCTCTCCTTCCTTTCATTAGAAGCTTCTTGGGGGCCTCCCTGGTGGCACAGCGGTTGAGCGCTGGGTTGCGAAGCTGCCCGCAGCCTCTGCAGCACCGGTTCGATCCCCGGCCGCTGGGCGAGGGTCCCACATGGCACGTAGACCTCTCCTGCCAAGCCCACTGCTCCTCAGCAGTGTACTTCGGTCCCTCTCCCTGTTCTGCTCCCTGCTCTGGCTCTGGTGAATTCTCTCACCCTCCCGCCCTTCTGACTGTACCCAGTGCTTGTATAAATAAATAAATAAATCTTTAAAAAAAAAAAGAAGCTTCTTGGAATTTGCATATATCAGCTCTGGTTATATCTTATTAGCCAGAATTTAGTCACATGGCCATGCCTAACTGCAGGCATTGTCTAGGAAATACTGGAATTCTCCATACTGGAAGTTGAGAAATGGTGAGAGGGCACATCTTTGCCTTGTTTCGGATCTTAACGAACATTTCTAGTTTCTCTTCATGAAGTATGATGTTAGCTGTGGATTATTTGTACATATTCTTTACCCAGTTAAGGAAGTTCCCATTCATCCCCAGTTTGGGTCATAAATGGCTTGCTTTTTTTCCTTATCTTAAGTGATGGTTAGATTTTTGTTAAACTCTTTTTCTGCATCGATTGATACATTTGTTTGACTTTTCTTCTTTTTCTTAAGCTGTTAATGTGATGATTGTATTAACTGATTTTCAAATGTTGAACCAGCCTTTGCATATATGAGATAAATCCCACTTGATTGTGGTATATAATTCTTTCTATACATTGTTTAATTTGATTTGCTAGTACTTTGAAGATTCTTGCATCTACTTTCATGAGAGATACTGGTTTGTAGTTTTCTTGTAGTAAAGTTGTCTGGTTTTGATACCTGGGCAATGCTGGCCTTATTGAATGAGTTAGGAAGTATTTTCTCTACCTCTATCTTCTGAAAGAGTTTCAGTATCATTAATTGAGAATTGGTATAATTTCTTCCTTAAAAGTTTGAGAGAATTTTCCAAAGAACCATCTGAATGCATGAGATCGTTCATGAAAAAACTTAACCATACAGAGATAATGGTGCTGGTGGTGGGACAGTCTCAGATCTTGGGTGACTGGGATGACCTTGGGGCAGTTACTTTAATTTAAGTTCACTGAGTTAGTTTTCCTTTTTGTTAAAGTGAGGTTAGCACCACCTTGTTATGGTGGTGTAGGAAGGCTGTATGACACCAAGCACTGCCCAGTTCATAGTAAGCACTTACTAAATGGGAACAATTTATTTTATTATTTTCACCAAACCAGACTGACACTGTGTGTTGGAATTGTAATTCCTGATTTTTTTTGGGTTCTTTTTAATCTAAAAATAGCTTAATCTTATGTTGTGGCTTTTTTCTTTTTTAAACTTGGAGGGGAAATTTTCAATAAGAAACCTCAAAACCAAATACTACTCAAGTGGGTCTAATGGTTAGGGATAAACTCTAGTGATTGTTTAAACATTACCCCAGTGGGTCTCTGTAAAGAGCATCTATCTAATCATTCGATCAGGATGTATGCTGGGCATTGCTCTTTCTTTTCTTGGACTTTGAACTGACTTGTATGTCCCATGGCTAGAGCTGCAGTGGGGTCTGCCCTGCCCTCCTCTCTGACAGGACAGAGAACACAGCCTCTGAGGTGAATAGTACTTGCCCTCAGAATTGGGGGTGTTGGTTCCCTCAAGGACTTCCACCCTCTTTGGGTAAAATCTTGTCTCCTGATTTGTTTCCAGTCAGGATTTGTTCCCAGCCCTAGTGGGCTATGTGGTGATTTAAGGAAGACCCAGCTGGGTTATGGTAGAGGGCAAGTCAGGTAGATTGCAAGTCTTTTTGCAAATGTATTTTGGGGGGAACTAGAACCCAGTTGGCTACAACATGGACACAACATGACCACTGAAAAGTGTGTTCTTCTTATGCTTAATTTGTGATAATGGCAACTTCAGGGACGGAGGCTATAAAATCAATTCAGTAGGATCCCCATTGTGGGTAACTGTATATTGTGTGTGCCCAGAGTTGTCTAGGAGTAGGAGGCTTTCTCTGAAGCTCCAGGGTGTGAAACACACCAGACACCACAGTGCTTGTCTGGGGGAGGGGGGGAGATTTCAGGGAATCATATCCAATATCTCCTGCCTCTGCTGCTGTGACATCTTTTGTCACCACCACTCTTTCTCAGAAAGCAGCTGGGCACAGCACACACAATACAGAGGGCAGCGTGATTATTTGAGAAGGTACATACTTCATTTCAAACCAGATAACTGTTATCACCCTAGATAATTTCCATGGGTTCTGAAATAGACCTGGCATCCCAGGCAGGGTATCTGCTAGCATAGCAGCGTGGGTGCAGGATTGCCTGGTTCTGAACTACATTTGCATTATAGACTAAAGCTGCACCCTAGAAGTTATCTTTATTATGTAGCAGTTTGGAAGAAGTAAATTGGAGTATATTTAGGTCTTTCATTGGGTACCATTTTGGAAGGTTGTGGTTTAGTGGCCACTGTATGTTCAAGTCTCAGTCTTCCCAGCTGTCAAATGGAGACCACAGCAAGCTCATGGAGACATGTGTGAGGTTTAAGTATTCTCACACCCACCTTCTTCCTGCATATCCTTCTATCAGTCTAACCAGTGTGAAACGAGGCTGCAGTGTTAGTGAGGTTGCACTGCACATCACTGCAGCAGTGCTCCCCATGTTAGTTCTTTAGAACCAAATCCCAGTCCCTAGAATGGTGCCATTACCACCTATCAGAGGGGATGGTTTTGTTTTTGTTTTTTAAACTCAGCGATTCATTAACAAATATATTTTGAGTATTTCCTATACACCAGACACTGTGCTGGGTGCTGAGGATACAAAGATGAGTGAACTCACTGCTGTTGGGGAGGTCACACTGCACTGGCAAAGACCAATGTGTGTACCCTTGGTTAGTGTGGAATATGAACCATCAGGAGCAGGCAGAGAAATAACGGGAGGACAGGGATGGGTACCTCCCTCAGTGTGGGATGTTTGTTGTAGGGGTGAATAGGACTTCGGGTAAAGAAAACAGCTTGAGTAAAGACAAGGAGTTGAGAAACATGATAGATTTGGAGACCGTTAATGGATTTGGGGTTGCTGGAGTGGGAACGGGTGAGGCTGGAGAGACTGCAAAGGGCTAGATCCAGGAAGACATTGGGTGGCAGGTAAGGGAGCTCAGGTCTTAGGCAGCATAAATGGTGGTAGTCTTGGTGGTGGTGATGATTCAGTAATGGATCAGACAGACATGCCACACACATGGAAAGGGGGCTGGCATTCGTGGTAGGAATAACCATTCAGTTGAACCCCTGGTTTAGGACCATGCTTGTATGGACGGTGGCTTAGATAACTTGAGACCTGCGGCTCCTTTGAGGAAGATGTGTGACTGCTTAGGGACAGAGCCGACAAGGGCTTCAGGAAGTGGAAATGGGGAGGAATGAACGGATTGAGGATTTAAGTTCTAATTAATTAGAGGAAGGGAGGCTGGTGAAGCTGGAACCAAGTATATGACCAAGATCCCATTTTCATATTTGAATTTCTGGTCATATCCCGTCTCTTTGGGGAGGATTTTTCTGATATCTGGCCCACACTTTTTTGTACAACTCTGACTTCATTGCCTTGTCTCCTTATATCTTGCTTTGTATTAAGTTTGTTTTGTTTTTTTGTAAGAAGGGGAAACATTTAAAAGGTAGGGACTATATCTTATATTTTTTTGGGGGGTGCAACTTTTAAGTATTTAATATTTATGCATATTATTATTAGAATCTTAGGTAATTTATTGCCGTTATCTCTTTTTTTTTTCCCTAAGAGAAAAAGAACTGAACACAGATGTTAAATGGGAGGTTTCTTCTATCCAGAGGGATACATTTGTGACTTGTGTGTCAGAAAATAATCTGCAAGGAATTTAAGCAGTTGGAGTTTTAGAGTAGGATAGCTTTTTTAGCTTTTTGTCCATTTAGTCCTGGAAACAACTTACCTGGAAAGGCTCCTCTGGTGGGTTGGCCGTGGCTTGATCACCCAGGACACCCTCAATTGATTGCTGTTTTTGAGAGGTTTGTGTTTGTGATTCCTCTGCAGGGCCGGAGCACGGTGCCCAGTGTGAGCTGTCGCCGGTGAATGCCTCCCATCCAGTCCAGGCCCTGATGGAGAGCTTCACGGTCTTGTCTGGCTGTGCCAGCAGAGGCACGACGGGGCTGCCCCAGGAGGTGCACATCCTGAACCTTCGTTCCAGCGACCAGGGGCTGGGGCAGCTGCAGAGAGAGGTAGGTGTCAGTGCCAGCTTCCATCCACTGCCCTTCTGGGCTTGTAACGCACTTTTCAGAATGGAGAAACTGTTTCTCCCATTATGGATTTAATAAGGACCTCATGTATGGATGAAAGTGGAGAGAAAGATACAATGTACGTTCTGCAAGGAAGATTTCAAACAACAGCTGGCCCTCTAGACTGGGAAACTTTAGGACTTCTCTCTCCCCAGATTGCTTGGCTTTCCAACTTTCTTGACTTGCCGTATTCTTAAGAACTTCATCTTTTAAACATGGGTATGAAAAAACAGAAAAGGTGCCATTTGTTGGTAATTACAAAATGTTTTTCCCATTTCCTCCTGGGCCCTCTCTTGCTTCTTTTCTTTGCTTTTTGTCTCATGAACCATTTGCCCCAACAGGTGCGTTTGGGGCAAATGGGATCATTGTGAGGCAGTTTCTGGAAGATGGTGACGGTCTAGGTGGTGACAATGATGATTCAGTAATGACTCTGTGGCCAGCACCATTTAAAACACTCATTCACTCACCCCATGAAGTCCTGTTAGCGCTTTATTTTACGGGTGACAGTCTTATGCAGAGATAGACTCATCCCCTTAAGAGAGAAATGGCCTTCTCAGAAGTTCCTGTGGTTCAGAAAGAACCTAGATTGTGGGTGAATAGTTATTATACTTCCTTAAAGATAACATACAGTTGTTATTATTTCTGTTTCTAAGCTTCTGTGTGTCAGAAGCTTTATCACTCAGGTATTACTTATGGGAGAGAGAAACCGCAATAAATCTGATCACAGAGAATTGCAAGGAAATTAATGCAGGACAGAATTTATCTTTCTTCTGGTCAAGAAAGTCATTTCCAGAATCATTTGTTTATATTTCTCAACCACTCTGCCTTTGAGGGGAAAGGGGAATAGCAATTGAAGAAGCGAGGTGTCCAGAAGGAAAAGCAAACTGATTTTAATCTCATGAAAGTGTGCAGAGTTGGCTCATTTCAAAGACAAATCATCTAACCTTTCCAGCTACATTGGAAATTATTGTTAATGCTCTTGGTTGCTTGCCATTGTTGCTGCAACACATATTTCAGGTCAGATTTCTTTATCCCAGTAATGTGTCTTTAATTCTTAACTTATGGGGGGGAATTTGTGGTGGGAGGGAAGGGAGAAGAGGAGGAAATGCAGTTCCTATGAAGCGTTGCTGACTCCAGCAGTTCTTTAGCAGCGATAATTACTCATTTTATATATGGTTCTCTCAGAGGAATGGAGAGAGAAAAGAAAGTCCAAGCTATTAATACAGAAGCAGCAATGGCAGAAAATTCTGGAGTTAAATTGTGCGGTACAGTTGTTGACTCCGAAAATAGATTCAAATAATACTATTGCAGCCAAAAGAAATATACCTCAAGGAATGACATCTAAGCTCACCCACACTCATATTTACTACGTTAGATCAAATGCACAGTCTGAGGACACATGCAATTAGCTGCTGTTGGGGTCACTGTGTGTTCAGTGAGGACGTAAAGAAAGAGGGCCTGTGGAGGGTAGTCTTGAAAACCTGTGTGAAAACCTGAATAGTCTTCTTTTTTCAATATTTGTATAGTGCATGTATGATTTTGGGTTAATGATTTGAAGATGTTTGTGAAACTAGGCAACTGGGAGAAATTGTATTTTTTCTTCTGTGGGGACTTTTAAGAATTAGATGGTTGTGGTTCAGTCCTGTTTGAAAATAAGCAGTTGGGATAAGTGATTGTTGGCCATTTCATGGACTCTGAGTGGTCCTCCTATAGTAGAGGAGTATTTTATGTACACAGGTGAGTGTAGATAATAAACAGCATAGCAGTGGGCCATGACAAAAAAGAATGAGAGTTTGTTTCTAGATGGTAAGATGGGGGTGGAGAAATATTAAATCTCTCTCACCGTCTTCATATATGATGGTGGAGATACATTACTGCAGCTGTGCAAACAGTTTTTCAAAATCATTTGAACCATATGACCCAGCAACTCTACTCCTAAGTCTGTACCCAGGAGAAATAAATACATATATCCACTGAAAAACTGTGCAGGAATGTTCATGGCAGCATTATTTATAACAAAGTACAGTGACTATAGCTAATAATACCGTATTGTGCATCTGAGAGTTGCTGAGAGCAATCTTTTAAAAAAATTTTTTTTTTATTAATTTTTTTCTTTAATGTAATCCCTACCAGGTATCACCTGGTATCACCTCTGGTATACCATAGGTATACCTGGTATCACCTATGAGCTATCCCCATATTACTTTTGTGTTCATCCCCCCTCCCTACCCTTTTTGCCCCCCTTCCACCTCCTCCTTTGCTGTATGCTTCAGTTCTATGGTCAGCTTGCTAGTTTTTGATTTTTTTCTTGTCCTTTTGTTTGGTTTCTCTATATTCCACATATAAGTGAGACCATCTGGTATGTATCTGTTTCCTTCTGACTAATTTCAGTAGAAGATAATTAATCCCTTCTATCTCCATCCATGTTGCCACAAAATGGCATGAGTTTGTATTTTTGATCACTGAGTAATATTCCATTGTATAAATATGTCACAGCTTTTTGATCCATTCATCTATTTTGGGGCATTTGGGTTGTTTCCCTATTTTGGCTATTGTAAATAGTGCTGAAATAAACATAGGGGTGCAGATTTCCTTTCCAGTTAGTGTTTTTTGTGTCCTTTGGGTAGATTCCTAGGAGTGGGATTGCTGGATCATTTGGTAGGTCCATTTTCAGTATTCCGAGGAACCTCCACACAGCTCTCCATAGTGGCTGGAGTAGTGTACATTCCCACCAGCAGTATAAGAGGATGCCTTTATCTCCACATCCTTGAGAGCAACTCTTGAAGTTCCCACCACCACAACAAAAATTTCTAATTGTGGGATGGTGAATGGTAACTTGACTTGTGATCATTTCACAGTGTATACACACATTGAATGCTGTACACCTCAATGTAATATGTTTGATGTCAGCTCTATTTCTAAAATAAATATTATATCTAAATTTAAAAAGTAGAAAAACCTGAATGTCCATCAGTTGATGAGTAGATAAATTGTGGTCTATCCATACCATGGAATGCTATCCAGCAATGAAATATGGACAGACTGCTGTGTGTACACACCTTGAAAACATTGTGTTAAGTGAAAGAGAACAGCTACAAAGCCTACATATTATATGATTCCATCGCTATGAAATGTCCAGAAGAGGCAAATTTATAGAGGCAGAAAGTAATGGTTACTAGGGCTGAAGGGCAAAAGAAGGAATTAGGGATTGGCTGTTAGCAGGTACAGGGTTCTTTGGGAAGGATGGAAATGTTCTAAAATTGAATCGTGATGGTTACATGACCTTTTGAATGTACTCAGCCCCATTGAGTTGTTCTTTAAATATGTGAATGTTAATAATATGTGAATTTTAATCTCAGTAAAAATTGTTTATAAACAATATTCAGGGCCTCCCCTGGTGGCGCAGTGGTTGAGTTGAGCGCTGGGCTGCGTAGCTGCCCGCAGCCTCTGCAGCGCAGGTTTGGTCCCAGGTTGCTGGTGAGGGTCCCACATGGCGCGCAGACCTCTCCTGCTGTGCCCTCTGCTCCACTCAGCAGTGTATTTCATCAGTATGCCTGTTCTGTTCCCTGCTCTGGCTCTGATGAATTCTCTCACCCTCCCGCGCTTCTGACTGTACCCAGTGCTTGTATAAATAAATAAATAAATCTTTAAAAAAAAAAAAATATTCAACCTGCCATTATTCTAATTAGTCCATAAACTTTACCTTAAACCTACAGTAGTCCTGTCTTGTCCTCGGGGAATATACCTCTGAAATTGCAGATAGTACTGAATCCTATGTTTTTCCCTATACACGCATAATTATGATAGTGTTTTATTTATAAAGTAGGCATAGTAAGGGGTTAACAACAATAACTAATAATAATATGGAACAGTTATAACAGTATACTGTAATAAAAGTATTGTGAGTTCTTTATGTGGGGGTGTCTCTCCTAACATAGTTTTTTTTTTTTTTTTTTTAAAAAGAATTAGTCCTTTGTTGTAACATTTTTATTTATTTTGCATAGAGGAACTGGGGTGTAGGCCAAAGGTGGGGGTGTGTGAGAGGATTCACCAGAGACAGAGTGGGGAACAGAACAGGCAGATCCACTGAAATACACTGCTGAGAGGAGCAGTGGGCAAGACAGAAGAGGTCTGCTGCACCATGTGGGTCGCCTCCCAGGCCGGGCATCAAACTTAGGCCGTTGTGGTGGGCCTTTGCAGTGCTAGTGCTGAGACTTAACCCCTAGGCCACCAGGGAACCCCCCCCAACCCCAACATATCTTATTGTAGACAATATTTTCGGACCTTGGTTTATCACGCACAACAAACTGCAAAAAATGCAACCCTGGGTTGGGATGTGGGAATGCTACTCTATTCACTTTCTTTTTCTTTTTTTAGTCAAGACTGCTGCCTCCTAACTAAGCTCACCCAACATTATCTGTTATCCTCAATGGATAACTTGATTTTTATAGATACGCTATCATATGGTGTGTATTAAAAATTGCAGCTGATCTGTTTGTGGGGTAATGGGGGGGTGGACTGTAGTCAGCTTTTATAGATGTCTCTATTGAATATTAAAGGTTAATGTTTTTCAAAATGAAGTAATAAATGTTGTGGCTTATAAATTAGCAAAAAGAATGCCAAGCTGCCTCTAAGATCCAGATGACTTGGGCTCTGATGTCTGTCTGACGTAGTTGTTTTTCATGGTGTCCTTCCTTGTTGGGGAATTACTAAATCAACCCTACTTCCCTTTGGCGTGTTACTGGTACAGGATCTGCGTTAAGATCTATTATAAATCATCTCTTCTCCGGCATTTTACTAAATTTCTGCCTCCCTTGTATTTCAAGTTCTTCACCTGAGGAGAGGCTGTTGCTGCTTTTCTGGTGGAGTTGGTGACAGAGCCTACACCTGGAAGTAATAATGGCAGCAGTTTGACAAGATTTGGGGAAACAGTTATACTTAAG